GAATAACGGAACGCCTATACCGGAGATATAGAAAGTGGCAACAAACGACAAAGGGAAGAGGAATAGAGAGAAAGAGTATATATACGTATATACATATGAGAGAAATTTTGAAACCGTATGTCTAAACTTGATATGATTATGAAAAGCAGTAATTTTTGCTCGAAACCTTGTCATCAAGATATTAATACTGAAGTACTATGTGATATTTAAAAATAAACTTATCTAATATAGAATCAGAGAACACAACTAAGTTAAAGTTTGGGACTCTTCATCAGTACGCACCCACCGGGGTTCGAACCCAGGACCTTCTGATTACAAGGCGAGCTCGTAGACCATTGAGCCACTGGGACCCTATCCAATGGTCCGTGACCAGTAGGGTAAAGCAGGTTGAAGATGAGGCAGTAACTCATCGAAGAAGACATTGCGAAATGGTCGCGCTATGTCGTGAATTGGCAGAAGTTAGAATTCAAGGACCATTGGATGGGGTCCCAGTGGCTCAATGGTCTACGAGCTCGCCTTGCAACCAGAAGGTCCTGGGTTCGAACCCTGTAGCGGCGGGGGTGCGTACTGATGAAGAGTCCCAAACTAGGACGAAACAGCTGTCCAATACTCCCAGGTTTTCTAGTGGTCCTCTAACTGATGTCAGCTCACGATGAAATCCTCCATGCAGTCAAACAAAAACCCCTACAAAACCAATATTTGTAAGTTAAAGTTGTTGGTATTATTTATAAGTTTCTGAATGAATTTCAGTGATTAGCTGTTTGGTATTGATATTTTACTGATCTCTTGGATTTCTGTATTTCACTTTCTTGGATTACTTACTGATCAGACGACTGCTGTCAGGATTACTTAGATATTCAAGCAATCTTACTTTTAGTGATATTGAATGAGATAATTTTGAAGTCTTAATACCGGTCAAAATATGACAGCAGTCACTGCTTCCGTGGTAGTTTGGATATCTCGGCTTGTCCTACTATCTAACTTCACTTATTACCGAGTTCATCTACTAGTGGAAATTATGCAGGTGTTTAGATTGCAACACATTAAATGTTTAGTCCACATATCACATAATGCATTAAGAAAATAATCTTACGTTCCCAAGCATCTGTAAGTAATATCTGCTACCATAGAAGATGTTGGTTATCCAATCGCTGCCTGTATATTTTCACCTTGAAACTTCAAGATTATGGTAGTCAGTTCAGACATAACTACTAAACATGATTTCTTCAACCGATAATGTATTTCTATGTGTGGTACTTTGAAATAGTGTGAACGGCGTTCCTGACTGTTTGCAGAACTCCACTACAATTATCTGGAGTATTGGTGCATATGGCTTATCACATTAAAGTAGTCATCTCGCATCCTCTGCTATGTGAATCTCCTATAGCTTCTCTCTGGACAATCTTTAATATGAGATGTTATCACAGTACTCTTCATTAAGCTGCTATCAAAGAAACGTACAATGCCTAAATACATATAATGAAATATTGTGTACTTTGATTGGACACTAGTAACTAGTGTGAAGTGTCTAGTCCTTTCTTTGGTACAGACTGAATTCTATCAGTCAGGTTTGCAATGTGTCCACCATTCTAGGTAGCTCACCATCATAGTGCACATTGATTTGATGATATTATATAGTTGGAGGCAATCGGCAGGAATCTCTAGAATCTGTCTCCAATAATACATCATTTATGAATACCGAACTCTATTCCATTTATTCAAGTATTGGTTTGTAGGGATTTCGGTTGATTGGTTACAGGATTTCATTATGAGCTGACATCAGTTAGAGAACCATTGGAAACCAACCTGGGAGTACAGGACAGCCGTTTCGTCCTAGTTCGGGACTCTTCATCAGTATGCACTCACCACCGGGGTTCGAACCCAGGACCTTTTGGTTGCAAGGCGAGTAGCTGGTTGACCATTGAGCCACTGAGACCCAATCCAATGACCAATGAATTTTAACTTCTGCCACTTCACGACATAGCGCAACCACTAGCCAGTGTCATCGGTGAGTATTTATCGTCACACACGACCTGCTGCATCCTACTGGTGGCGACTTCCCACTATTCCATTTAACTGACATAACTTATGAAAGTGTCAACTACAAGTCATTGTATTGACTGACATCAGACCATCCTGTGAGTTTGTCTTTAAACTGGCTGTTGAATTTAGACTAACCCTAGGGTTTTTGACAACCGTTAGCTTCCTGACTTTAGGTATTATGATACCGACACTAGTGTGGATTCCTGTATGTAAGTGATAATAAGAGGAGCAGTTCATCAAAACGTTGACGGTACGAGAGGTCGTCTCTGTTTAGCGTCTTGAAGGGATTACTTACTTCTGGAGTCGACATATGTGAGGTAATGCTCATGTTCGATCCCCACAGTAGAACAAGTACAACTGCTAGGAACTGTGGAGGTGAATCAGTTACCCCTTGTTCATGGAAGTTGGTCTCAGTGCACAGAAACCGTGCATATAGTAAAAACATTACAGAGAGTATCATATATCAATTGCAGATGTAACTAATCATAAGCACCACGAACCAAGAGGTGAAAATGATGAGATTCAATATAAACCAACCCCTCACTGAACTTCTCAAAGTTCCAATTAGAATTTGAGGGTTGATAATTCTACTGTAACGATAGAAGACAAGGGCCAGGCAACAGATCGTTTATTGAGGAAATCAACAGATATTTATATATTTTTATGTACGTTATTATTCGTAATTATTAACAGAGGAACAACGTCTTCTGATTGGTTGTTTTCTCGCTGAAAGTTAATCTGTCATCTCTTTGTGGCCGTTTCTTTGAAGGTCAGACCATATATCTGCGAATCGTATCCGCCCACGCAAAGTCTGCTGTGATTGGTTGTTGAGTTAGTCTTTGTTCTTGTTTCTTTCTCATGACCAAGATTTGGGACGTAAACATTGACATAAATTGCTGTCTACCAATTTTGGCTAGCAGACAGCTCTCACCACACTATGAAGCCATAAATGAAGACAACTAATCACTGATGTCATTTCATCATCATGCTTAACAAAATCTGGGACTAAAAGGTTGAATTAAAATCTCAATTTTGAAATTAATTTGCTACTTGCAAATCGTACAGTTCGAGGTTTCCTTTATAAACTGATCACAAAAGGTGATCTGCTTGATACCACAAACAGCAATTAAGAAAGTAAACATAAATGGATGTCACCAGACATTACTGATTGATCGAAACAACGAGCAGTTGTTTGATAAAACACACATCAACTATTAACGCTTGCTAGGAAGCCAGACAGAAGTAATCTAAATACCTTTAAAGGCTAAGAGTGTGTTGACGTTCACGCATAGTACGGCGTATACTAACGCAAGATCTTATACCCACAACTCCTATAGTATTTGTTCCGCGTAGATCAAAGACAAAGCAAAACACCAAAATGATCATCCAAAATACGAAGGATATTTTGGGATGAGAATCGTAGTACAAAGATGATTGCTTAACTATCTAGGGATGGTGCACGAACAACCGAACGAAACAAGACAGCGTGCCAAATGGCGTGGATGCTTGACGGCCAGCCTTCAACTAAACAATTCCATAGTAGTTTGTTTATTAGATATATCACACAGTGAAACAGTATAATTTACTGGATGACACAGTTTCGAACAAAATTTATTGTTCATAATCATATCAATTGTGATCACACGACTCTGATACTTGAGTTTTATAGTTTTCTTTGTTCTCTCCTATTTGTCGTCGTTGGGGTAATAGAATTTTCCAGATATCTGGCACAGGTGATGAATCATTCCTATTACACATGTCTGCAGTTGATTCGATAGACAAAGCTTCCGATAGCAATCTCTACCTCCACCCTGTCACATTAGATTTTAAAACTGCCATCTTATCCCATCCATCCTATTGTATGGCTGTTTGTAATTGCATGTATTGAGTGGTATAGCCGAACTATTCTCTAGATTTCTTATCTTATTTGGGTCAACCAATCTAGATTATGCTAGGTTTTTATGTTCGGCTAGTCTGACTGCCCCTGTTCTACTAGTTTGACACTAAACAAGTCGACTTAAACAGTGAAGGTTGACATCCAGTGTCCAATGATGAATGCTGTGGGCTAATAATTTTTGGAAATTATCTACTGATATACACCGGACGGACGTTTCGACCCTTCGGTTCCGGGCTCATCGTCTGCATACCCAATCTGACTCAGCTCAGAGAGCCGAATCGATTCAAATAAGTAGCCATGCGCAAATGTATTCAAAACCAATGATGTAGTACTAACAGAGTCTTTCAGGAAATATTTTCCAAGAGTTGATTTATAAGGACTAGATTTGCTTTTAAAGTTTGACAATGGAGTGATATCAGTTCGAGAACCACTGAAAACCAGTGACTACTAGATAGCCAGCTGTTTCATCCTAGTTTGGGAATCATTGGCAGTACTCACCCACTGCCAGGGTTCGAACCCAGGACCTTCCGGTTACAAGGCAATTTCGTATACCATAACTTCTACCAATTCGTGATTTTAGTACTCTCTGGTTTTCAATGGTTCTCTAACTGATATCAATCCGTGGTCAAACGTGAAGAAGTATTTTTCAATGAACAATATCTCAACGAACCATTTTAATGTATATTGAAAGTCATGAACGTTTAAAGCTGAACTGAAACATTGATACTTTTTGTTTTATGAGTTTCACAATAATTGAATAAATTTATAAAACATCATTTTAAAGGTTATTTGTAATATTAGGAGATATTTCAAATTTGTTTGAATTCGATGCTAGATTTTTGCGGTACAAATAAAATTGTAATTCATAGAGTTGGCATTTGTTTACACTATGAATATTAATTCATTTTAGCATATTTAAAACAGCGAGTGTGAATGCGCTCAAATCAAATTTGGACTAAATACAAATTCTTGATATTCCTGACATTCATTAAATATTCCACAAACTATGAAATGATATGCTGTCAAAAATGTACTACAACATTTTGCTTATCATTTAAAAGCGTAAAAAGTTGGCGTTTTCATTTCATTGGTTTGGAAATTGAAACTAACAGTTTAAGAAATGGAATGTTTTGCATATTAACAAAAAGAAAGAATATTATGTGCTAGTCAATTCGAAAACATACAATGAAAATTTCCCAAAAACTTTTGAAAATGAGTTTTGTTTTTAAAAAAAACGAAAATTTCATGATATTACTTAATAGCTTTATAAGTAGTAAACGGTAAAACTACTAATTTATTAGTGAAACAGAAATTATACAAAGCAACAATTGAATGTCAAACACTGAATATTGTTTCCAATTATCCCCTTAGACCTTATAGAAAATATCTCTGAAATGCATTATGTTAATCTACGAATTTGTGCATAATGTTGGTTTTTTTTGAATATAAAATTTGGAGTTAAGCGATGAGGTCACATGATGAAATAGTATTAAATGTGTTGACAATGTAAAGGTGTTGCTCCTTCAGACCAGCATATTTCATATTAATCAACTGGAGGCAATGGACCTTTATTTGATCGACGACGTGAAACATCAGGCTTGTTACGAGTGTTATCCTGTGAAGTTAATCCCTGTTGGTCAGAGTGTTCTCCAGTAAAATGTACTGAGAAGTTACTTGATTTTCGCTTAGGTGAGGTTACATTACTTGGTTGTTCTTCTGGTTGGATTATATCAGTACCAGCATGTTGTGCTTCTATGTTGTGAGTGTCACCTGCCAGATTTTTTTCTGCCATGGCCTTTAGTTTTTCTGGTTTAAGTAATGAGGCCAGTCTGAAATAATATAAAATAGGATATTCATATGATTAGATAATTAAATTATTATTATTTACAAATATCTATATAAAAAGATGTGCTAACACTAGCCAACTTCGGAGACGGATACAGTAGGATTAGCCAGTCGATTACAAGACTCAACAAGAGTGGGTAGAACCAAGATTGTCAGAGAGGCTCCACTCAAAACTATTTGACGGAGAGTAGAGTGTGGTGTGAGCTAATGACACGACATTTTAAGTAGCGTATATATGTATCATCTGTAAGAATATTAACTAGTGGAGTGAGGGATTTAACGGCTCAGAGAAGAGATGAAGGAAACATGAAAGGAAGAGAAAGGAAGAATAATACGAGTTGAAATTGTGGTTTTAATACATAGTGGGTATATTTTGGGTTATATCTGTATATAAAGTTGGGAAATACTGTTGTGTTCTGCTGTTTCAGATGAATTACGTCTTCTTATTTTTTTGTCCAAGAAAGCATTTGCATTACAAATAACTGTGTTTACAAGTTGTTAGAACAAAAAGTTATTTTTCAAATGTATTTTCGAAATGTATGTTGATACTACTAAAATAAGATGTAAGTAGTATAAGTATATGTTAGGGAAATGCTACCAAGTAGAATATACCGTATAGAGTAGAAATGTGGAAGGCGAAATAGTCTTTTCACAATAAACAGCGGAAAAAGCATGTTTGAATAGAATACAATGAAGTGGTTTGAAAACACTGATTGCATTTAACGATTTCAGGAAAAAGAATTCTGCATTAGGTAAATGACATTTTTCCTTATCAGTAATTTGCATTTTTCAATGAATGAAAGAGAAAATAATTTGTTTTCTATTCAATAAATACACAATGGTGATTGTACTTTCAACTCGTAGTTTGTTATAATGCAAATTTAATGGACATTAGCCACACCCTCTGACGTCACTCTCTTCTCTGCTATTACCTACTCTGAGATATTAGAATGAGTACAGAAAGTAGGCAATTAGATGAAAGCCTGTTATGAATCCCATTCTTCAATTGATAATTTGAAATTAATTTCTTTACATTGAAAGCAGTTGGAATCTCAGTAGGGATATCACTCCCTTCAATGATTGCATATCCATCTTGCTGATGAGTGCCAACAAGTGCGATACCTAAGTCAAAGGCCTCCTGCCTACAACCTCTGGTCATCTAATATCAGCTCTATCGTGAATAGTGTAAGGGCTGCGAGCACGATGACATGAACAACAAGGTAATGCTTACAATGACTAGCAGTGGCCTTTAGTTAAACTGAAGTGAGTTAAGCATAGGAAAGCTTTTGTGAGAGTTCTAAATGGGATAGTGTAACGTAGACGTGGAAATCATTAAGAAAAATATTTACAAGCTTAAAGCTGACACGCTTAGAATTCACAAAGAACATAGAAGACTGAGTCTGGTATTGTTAATAATAATAATATTAATGTTTAAATTACACTGAATCAGTAGTATTCAAAGATTACATTTCAAAAGCGTCTGTAAGTGATAACACGCACCAATATAACATGAATATCAGATAAGTTAAAGGGAGAGACGTAACACAGAATTCACTCAGCTACAGAGTTCGCAGAATTTGCACCCCGGACATCATAGAAGGTGAACTGGACAACCTCAAGAGAATCCTTGTCGAGAATTGCTATCCAGAAAAATTTATTGCAAAATCTATGAATCCTAGACCAGAAAAGCCGCCCATACTTAGTGTCAAGAAAAAACTACTCTACATGAACCTTCAATTCAATGGAGATTTATCTGCGGAAACACTAAAAAAAATCGACTGTCGCGCTCACTTAAGAAGACCTTATTCGCAGCTGAACTACGAATAACCTTCTCCACAAAACCTACGATTCATGTGAACGTGAAAGATAAGCTACCGCTGCTGGCCTCATCAATGTGCATTTATCAATTCACCTGCTCGTGTGGAGCCAGGTATGTCGGCCGTACCCAGCGCTCGCTTTCCAAACGTATCACCGAGCACTTACCAACATGGTTTTACAAAGGAGAAAATCGATGCCCCCGCAGTTCCATCTTAGAACATCTGATAGAATCCGGACACCAAGCTACACCGCAAACAAACTTCAAAGTCGTCTACAGAGTAAGAAGTAGTCTCCCTAAAGGTGTACGAATCAGACTTCTTCAAACTGCAGAAGCAATGGCGATTCACTTGCTAAGTCCTGAACTCTGCATACAGAAGAAGTTCGTTCAATCACTACACTTGCAATGGACGTAATCTATCTTATTAGCCGACATGTAAATTCTACCTAATCTTTTCTTCTGTCTCTTCATTAGTATTATTTTGTCTTCTCAATTGTAACATTTTACATTTTCAACTTTCCTGTTCTCTACCCCCACCCGATTCAATTTCTACACCTCACTACCACTGTTACTGACTTGAACAACGCTCAGTTTCTAGTCATTCATGTTACGTCATCCAACTTATTCACTCAATTTCACTTCTACTTAATCTCTACCTGTAATTACTTCTGTTGCTGTCCTGACCTAAGTTGTAACATTTTAGCCAATTATATTACGTCATCTAGCTTTTTAACTCAATTTTACTTCAGTTGCTGTCTGATTAACCTTGTCTCTATACTACATCATTCTTGTATTAACTAACCAATTATCTAAACTTGACAAACCTCATGTACACACACGCACAAATATTTATATATAAATGCGATTGTACAGCTATGTGAATGAATTCGCCGAAAAGAGTCTCTTCGCTGAATGTCTTCTCTTTTTCATATGACTCAATGGGGATTTTCAATCTATTTATGGATTTATAGGCTCAACAGTAGGCCAGGGTAGCGGTAGTGGCTGAGCCTGCATCTTTTGCGAGCAGAGCTTCAGTTAACTTAGGCGAACGACAATGGCCTCTGATGTTTGCAGTGTTCGGTAACTATAGGCCTCCGGCAATCTATTCGATACCCGACAGAAGACAAAGAAAGACCGTTCAATGCCACCTTTGTGGCATATTTGGAAGAGATGATTTCATATTAGGACTGTTTATTTTGCCTCTAATACTGATAGGTGTTCCTGAGCTGGAACAACTAAGTTCGTAGTGTGGAACGGCAAATGTAACTGGCTCCACAGGAGCAGTTGAACTGGTAGATACAATCAGAGGTGGCCAGCTTAGGTATATTTTCTTCCAGCCTCAGAATCACAACAGGTTTTGAGGTAACTGTAGGCTACAGCTTTCCGGGATGAAACATTCTTCAGATCGATTTTCTCAACTTGTTGGTTATTATTTCACCTGAATGTATATCACCTTTGAGTTGTAGTCGTATACATACAGTCTTCTTGTTAACAGTTATAGAAGAATCCTTTTCTATTTTCTCAGCCATGTGTTTAATGATGAACTTTTCAGGATAGCTGCTTTCGATTAAATTGTCATATAAAACCTTAAGCTCTTCTTCAATCGCCTGTTGTGGAGCCCATAGATTTATAAATTCTATGTGACTTCCCTTGGTTTATCTCTTATTCAGTCAGTTTAGTGTTATTTTTATGCATATTGTCTCTCTCTTGCTGATGCTTTTGAAGTGTAATTTAAGACATTAATATTATTAATAACAATAATTCTTTGTTTTCAAGTACTGAAAATTATTCTGATGATCACCTAAGGTTCTAGTGGAAAGCCGTGACCAGTAGACTATAGCAGGATAAAGGCGAGGCAGTAACTCATCGAAGAAGACATTGTGAAGTGGTCATACTATGTCTTCAGTTGGGAGAAGTCAGAATTCATGAGCTGGCCACTGGATCGGGTCCCAGTGGCTCGAGCTCGTCTTGTAACCAGAAGGTCCTGGGTTCGAATCCAGCCGGTGGGTGCGTACTGCTGCTGCTGGGCTAACGAAACAGATGCCCAGTACTCCCAGCAGGTTTTCCAATAGTTTTCTAACTGATGTCAGCAAATGATGAAACCTTCCAACCAATAATTCTTTAATTATTATTGTCACATAAGTGCAGAACCTGATGACGAATATTTCGAAAAGAAAACTTAGTCTTTTAAACTTTTAATAGGCATCTTCAACCAGTTGTAATGAATTGTTGAATATACTTCATTGAAAGAATATTTCAACTTACCCATGATTATCACCTCTGTAATTGAAAATAAAAAGTAAACATAAGAGGGATTAAGCAGTTTATTTATTATAACTGAAATATATTAAAAATGAATTTATTTTAAGTCAAACATAATTTACATATATATGTCCAAACCAATGCCAATTTAGTCGGCAGGTATCAAATCCCTACAAACCAACGCTTGAAAATTGATCAAATCCTCGCTAGTGACTACTGGCTACAGGACGAAGTTTCCTGGAGTCGTGGTCACTAGGCTCCGTCACGTCGGGTGTGAGAGCAAATACTAGCAGATGAGACTGGCTGACGATGGCGCTCAGGCCCTCATTTCCTTTTATTCAGTTTCGTATTCATAAGAAAAATAGTGAGAAAATGTGACTGGAAATAATAATATATTGTTGAACTGCGTGAACATTTCCAAACAAACTAAAATACTGGGATGGATATAATCTAGAACAGTTAGTCTCTTTCATAAATTTGGATAGTGTTACTAGAAGATGGAGATTATCTCTGTGCGATACATTTCGAACAATCTGGCCACACACTTACTTATCAAACGAATTTATGTGAAAAATAAAGGCCAATTAAAGTAAATAAATTGACACAAAGGATTTAAGATTTAACACAACCTTTGATTATCCCGTCAGATAAAGATTACTAAGGTGGGCTAGGAGTAATAATAAATTTTCAAGTATTGGTTTTGTGGGGATTTGTTTGGTTGGATAGAGGATTTCATCATGAGCTGCATCAGTTAGGGAACCATTGGAAAACCAACTGGGAGTACTGGACAGCTGTTTCGTCAGCCTACTTTGGGACAATTCAGCAGTACGCACCCACCGGCGGGGTTTGAACCCAGGACTCACTAGCTACTGGCCTTATTCAAGCAGTTAACCTGGGGTTCTAGTGGGAAGCCATGAACATTAGGGTACAGCAGGTTGAACGTGAGACAGTAACTCATCGAAGAAGACATTGCGAAGTGGTCACGCTATATCATGAATCGGCAGAAGTTAGAATTGATGGGCTAGCCATTGGATTGGGTCCCAATGGCCTAATGGTCTGCGAGCTCTCTTGCCTTGTAACGAGAAGGTCCCGGGTTCGAACCTTGCCGGTGGGTGCGTATTGATGAAGAGTCCTAAACTAGGCTGACAAACAGCTATCCAGTACTTCCTGCAGGTTTTCCAATGGTTCTCTAACTGATGTCAGCTCATGGTGAAATCCTACATCTAATAATAAATTGTTTTTGAATACCCATAGGGGCGGCTTAAATTTATGAACAGCCATAGCTTCCGAGTATTTCAATAAACGCCCTTGACCATTTTTATAGATGACCTTAAAAGCCGTGTGAACACCAATCTGATGGTTCATATGTATCAGATGTTTAGCTGTAGACGAAGATGAAAGTCTACCACCTGCGTCTAATTAATAGTGATGGTTGTCGTCATATTTATATCTTTACCCGCATTGGAAAGACAGCAATGGGACACATGGCTTTCAAGTTGTTAGTCAAACTCGTTGACCGTTCAATCCCTGAGATGGAATTCAGTGTCGCATGACTTCTAGCTTCTGTCAGTTCGCAAAATCTAGCTCCACCTCCACTAGGACTCAACAACTGTCCAGCACTCTCTGGTTTTTAATTATTCTCTAACTAATATAAATCTGTGAACAAAAACTTGATAATTGTTGCTTGTATCAGAAAATATAATACAGTGGAATGAACGGGATGCGACTTAATTAAAAGATGGAATTCAGTGTATTGGATTTTGATATTGATTTAAATGCATTCAGAATTTATAGATAATAGCTACATGAGAGAAAATGAATACTAGTTTGTTCATTAGCTAACATCATTTGGAGAAGTGGGACTGGAACTTTCTCACTTCTTTACTCTATTTACACAAATGTACGCCCTAGTTGATGAATTCATCGAAAAGAAAATTTTCTTTGCTGCAACCGTCTTTTTAATTTTCCCTATGATCTAATGTGTATATTTTGCGAGATAGAGAACCAATGGAAAATCAGAGAGTACTGGACAGTCGTCTCATCCCAGATTGGGACTCTTCAACTGTTCGTACCAGGTGGGTTTTGAGCTTCGAAACCTTCTGGTTAAGTGGTTAGTTCACAGATCATCCAGCCAATGGAACCCGATCCTATGGAGCATGAATTCCAACTTCTGCCAATCCATGATAAATATAGCTCAGCTGTCAGCCGCTATCAATGGCGAGTTATCGTTCTTCTACCTAACTCGGTGGTATGCTTGTGAAATTTATTAATAAGGTATAAAGGGGTGAATTATAATCTGTTGATTGTGAGATAATGCGAATACAGTAGACCAATAGGATAAGCTGAGCGTAAATTAAAGGGGTGAGAAATAATAATAGCGTGATATCAACTAGGTGAGAAGGTATAGGAAGGAGAGAGAGAGGAGGTTGTGAAGGTGTAAGGGGAGGGGTAGTACATAATATGGTATGAAGATATAAGATAATTACGTCTAACATCACAGTATGGTTGCAGAGGTGAATAAAAGATATGATCTTCACTGGAAACCTCAAAAATGCACAAGTGATTATATCACATCCCACATAATTTACCAATTTTCATGTGTGTGTGTGGACATACATACATAGGGAGGAGTAATCGCGCGTTGCACGTGAGGGTGGGAGAGCATATCCCAAAGTGATTAGAAAAAGAGATGAATTGTGACAAGCCAATAGATGCAGGTGTCAGACTACCAACTTCGTCTATAGCTAAACATTTAATCGAGATGAACCATAAGGTTGATGTTAACTCAGCCTTTAAGGTCGTCTATAAAAACGGTCAAGGACGTTTACTGAAATACGCTGAGGCTATAGCCATTCATAAACTTAAGCCCCCCTTGTGTATTCAAAAACAGTTTGTTATTACTCTTAACCTACCTTGGTAATCCTTATTTGATTGGATTACCAAACGTTTGTGTTAATTATTCTTAATACTTTTTTGTCACTTTGTTTAATTTAACTTTTCCATATATATTGACTTGACAAGTAAATGTGTGATCAGAATGTTCGAAATGTATAGCGCAAATACATCACATTTTTCAGATAATCTCCGTCTTCTAATAATGCTATCAAAATATGATCTTGTATTTCTAGACAAATCGTTGAGAACTAGATATGTCACTGTAAATGCTTAGATATGATGGAGAAGATTTGTAGCTCAGATGGATGATTTTGATGTGGTTGTGTTCTCTGAGCTGCATGGTTAATTTGCGAAGCTTTCGTTGTCCTACTAGGCGACATCTTCAGCGCATACTTCAATTCGTTGAAGTGAGCTTTTAGATTCCTCCACGAGTTTATTAATCATCTCTCCTGGTGACCTTGGACGTGGCTGGTTGTTTTTGTGTGTTTTCACACCCTGTAGGCGGCTACTTGTATTGGAACTGATTGATTCCTTCACTTGAACTTTGACCCTTTGTGTGAGGTTTCTTTCTTATCGGTTGATAAACTTTGTCTATCTCGATGTGTCTATTGATTAACGATTCGTTGGAATACCAGGCTTCTAAAAATTCTCTAGCATTCTTGTTGTTTCCTCTGTCAAAGTTCAAGTGAAGGAAACAATCAGTTCCAATACAAGTAACCTAGAAGGTGTGGAAAACAAACACAAAACAACCAGTCCCGTTCAAGGTCACCAGGAGAGATGATTAATAAACTCGTGGAGAAATCTAAAAGCTCACTTGAATTCGAATCGAAGTATGCGCTGAAGATGTCGCCTAGTAGGGCTATGAAAGCTTCGCAAATTAACCATCCAGTTCAGAGAACACAACCACATCGAAATCATTGTAAATGCTTCTTCTATATTCAAGTGGTGTCTACTATTCACCAAAGTGGATAATATGGTACTGTTCATTGCCTCAATTACTACTTCCCGCTGCGCCATATCAAACTTATTATTTATAGTATATGCTATTCGTTGCTTGCGTTCTGTACGAAACATAGGGCAGAACATTTCCACTAAACTCGTTTCCCTGATATTATTTCCAACTGGTCCCACAGGTACTTACAAACCTTCGTTTCCTATTCACAAAGTCTTCTCCCTGTCACCTTCGGTCTCCCAACACACCACTTCCCATTCGGATTCCAATCGAGGTTCTATCCATCTCCATTCCCCTCGGCATATTTATTAGGAAATAGATTATTGGTTGAATCGTTGGCAAAGTTCCTTGTTACTTATCTGCGCTTTAATGTTTCACTGGCATCGGAATTATTATTATTTTTTATGGGGTCCGGTTGCTAGTCTCTTCTTTCCAGGCTGAAGACGGGCTGGTAAACTAGGCAACTTTTCGGGATGAGTAGGCAGGCATTCCTCTTCCTGATTCACATGGCTTCAGTTGGGGATAAAAGATATAATTATCTACGTCTAGACAAATTGTTCTACAGTGCATAATATCATGCGGTGTCGGTTGTGCCCACAAAGTGGATAAGATGGAATCATTTATTGGTGTGGTTACTCCCCTTTGGAGCCAACATGTTAGATGTTTACCAAATGTTCTTGAAAAGTCCCTTTTACTATATCAAAAACTATTTTCCATTTAATATTTAGATTATAAGATATGTGGAGATTCGGATTTACTTTACCTGTTAGATTTCACCACCAACCAACATTATTTTGAGATATCCTAGAAAGCTAAAGGGAACTAGATAGCTACTTCATCCTAGTTTTGGACTTTTCGGCAGTGTGCATCCACAACATCAACAGAGATCGATCATGGGACCTTCAGGTTATGAAACCAAGCACGTTGATCAGTCAGTCACTTGAGCTAGAATTCACTGACCTGTGAATTCTAATTCTGTCAATTCGTGATATAGCGTTACATTCACTGATGCTTTCTACGAGCATCCCCTTCATCTGGTGGGACCGTTAGTGATCACTGCTAAAGAGTTTCGAAGTAGGAATAAATGGGTGTCTAATTCTCCCTGGTTTTAAAAGATGTCTTTAACTAATGTTTATTAGTGATGAAATCTAACAACTGATATTTTCCGATTAGCTTTCAATGTTAAGCAATTTAAATAAATAACCTGGGGTTCTAGTGGGAAGCCGTGACCAGTAGGGTACAGTAGGTTGAATGTGAGGCAGTAACTCATCGAAGAAGACATTGCGAATTGGTCACGCTATATCATGAATTGACAGAAGTTAGAATTCATGGGCTAGCCACTGGATTGGGTCTAACTGGCCTAATGGTCTACGAACTAGCTCACTTTGTAACCACAAGGTGGTGGTAGGGTGTGTACTGATGAAGAATCCCAAACTGGGACGAAACAGCTGTCCAGTACTCCCAGGGTTTCCAGCGGTTCTCTAACTGATGTCAGCTCATGATGAAATCCGCCATGCAATCAAATAAAAATAAACGCACAAATTTCGGCTGTGTCGTCATCAAGTGGAATTAAAAGGTCAAATTTTTTTACTTACTTACTTACTTACACTTCAATCATTTTACGATAACTTAAGGTGAAAAGTATTAAATTAATAGTTACTACAGAATAAACAGTTACGTCACAAGGTAATTTCCATAGAAAATATACACCTTTCATAATATAAATGTGCTTCGTCCTTGTTTGGGACTCTTCAGTGATACACACTCTATATGGATGAAAAGCGGGATTTTCCAGTTCTTGTAGAAGTTATAATTCATGGGCCGCTGGATTCAGGCCCAAGTGATCGAATGGTTCAGGAGCTTGGACTCATAATATGACAGTCCTAGGTCCGTTCTCCTGTGGGGTAGTGACTGCGCACTGACGGAGAGTCCCAAGCTAGGACGAAACGGTACTCCAGGGTCCTCAAATTGAGATCAGTCCTTGATCAGACATGAAACAAATCAAATCGCTACAAAATAAGTCTTGGAATGAAGAGGTAGAGAAAATATTTCTCCGAGACGAAGTGAGTTAGTTAACTGATAAGGTAGAACATTCCAAGACTAATCCCTGTCACGGATCGAAATATATATAAAAACAAAATTAAATTGAGTAGTCCAAATGTGATTATAAAGCAGAAAAATAAATATGTGTGGATAATGGCTGCTATACCACAGATAATGCTGGAAATCACGTTTTGGGACACTGTGCATTAGTGTTTCAGCTTTACGGACATGTTCACTTGAAAAAAGTTGCTTATGAACAGAGTTAACTCAAAACTTTCTACTTAACCGAAACACTGTTGCTGTATTAACGTCTTTGACTAAATCACTGGGTGACACGGATCCTAATCTCAGTTGGGACATGAGTTCCTTCGGGGTTTCAAATATGCCCTGGTGACACGTTCCAACAAGCTTGACATCTAGGCTAAACAGGGCTTCCTGCCGATTACCTCCAACCATGTAATACTTTGTTGTAAGAATATGAACACCAAATCTCAGCGGAAAACTCCTGCCACATCACATATTCTCATTTTATGATGCTAAAATCATTTAAAACCCTGCAAGCTTTCCCAATGGATAGTTCTTTTAATTGGGAAAGAATAAAACTTTTGAAATTGAGAGGTCATAGCGAGAAAAATCACGTTCTTCTGATACTTTAGTTTCACTGTATTCAAAGTTTATTCATTTTAAGGGGAAACACAAGAAAGGCAGCATACTTACTCTGTCAGTGGGGGTGGATCAGGTAGCGGTTTATTGAAGTTGTCCTTCCCAATTAACCAAAATGAATCAACTAAACCTTTGCCTTTCAGTTCAACTTTACCACGTAACTGTAAATGATAACCACCCAAAATATCCAGAATAGATTTTGTTGTTGGGCTGACATGGATACGGAAAGCTTAAAATTGTAAAAAGAACGAATGAATACATAAATATATCAATTGAAGTTTTGAAAAAAAGCATAAACAATCAAATATCGCTGCTGAAGTACGTCGGTAGCACATCGGTAGAATGCTCGCCGACCACTCCTCATGTGGTGTGGAGTTCGACCCCAGGCCACCGATGCACTCCTTTACCTAGTTAAGCCATTAATAAGTTCGGTAAAGAGGGAGGGTTGGGCATGAGACTAGCAACCCCATCCCGTAAAAATAAACAGCACAGCTACCGAAACTTTAAAGCTTTAGCTTGAAGCCATATGTCCTACTGAGAACGTAAAGGGATAAAATAATAAATAATCGTCATCGTTACTTAATGTTTCTTTAATAAGATTAAAGACCAATAATTCTAGGCATCTTGTTGATATAGGTTATGTGGTAGACGCCATGAAATCCTTTAAAATTATCAGCATACAGTAAAGTTCAGTTCTCCTCAAGTTTGCCAAAACAACTGTTATCAATTTGTGTGTTCAGAAAGAAGCAGTCATCAGTCTTACCTTGCCTTGAAACCTGATGTCTTTACACCATCTATTTCATTTGATTACGTAATCTCTCGCTTTAAACTCTTCCCCTTCGCCATAGTGTAACTTTGCTCATCTTCTGTTTCTATGACATGGGTCGAACTTGCTGCTTAACCTTTTTTCTACAGTTGGGTGTTTTTCTTTCTTTTCTTTTTCTCTGCTATACTTTTGGATAAATCCCGTAGGGTATTCATTTTCTCTTGGGCATTTCTCGACAAAACCTAACTCTTCTTCGACCTTGTTCGGTGAACATAGCTTCCTGGCTGTGTCGTACAAAGTCCTCACTAATCCACGCTTATAGCTTATGGGACAAAAGCTGTCATAGTGAAGATATTGCCCAGCCCAGCTTTCTTTTCTACAGATGGACTTTTCGATTGTGCCTTCGTTTGTTCTTTGTACATTTACGTCCAGGAAATTGAACATATTATTGTGGTCATATTCCATTGTGAATTTGATGTTAGGATAGCACTCATTTAGGCGATCATATAATGCCGATGCGTGATCCATGTCACTGCAAACAACAAATGTATCATCAACATATCGGCTATAGTAGGTTGTTCCATTGATAGCAGAACTCACTTGTGTCTGTTCAAGGTAGCCCATGAAGATATCAGCCAGAATAGGTCCCAGAGGTGAACCCATCACGACCCCATCAATTTGTCGGTAAAGTTGGTTGTTGAATTGTATATTTTTTGTGCAAAGCAGAAGTAGTCGCTTCATCTCTGTTTCCGGTAATGGTAGTAGATCCGTTTGTTTACAGATGATATCAATTGTTTTCATCAGTGGTACATTTCTAAACAAGGAGGTCACGTCACACGATACCATGAATTTGTCTGATACATAAACATTGTCTACTTCCTTGGAAAATTGATAGCTATCCTTCAGGCTATGGGTTGCAAATTTAATTCGAATCGGCTCTATAGAATCAGCTAACCATCGAGCCAGCTTGTGGCATGGTGAGTCAATCATTGACAAGATTGGTCTTAAAGGCATATTTGCTTTATGGATTTTGGTAGGCCGTACATAGACGGCAGGCCTCCACCTTTTGACTTCAGTTTATTGTATGTTTGGCTGTTGATTAGTTTCTTCATTAGAAGTTCTTTCAGACATTTATTTACTTTATTTTCAAATGGCGTTGTGGCATCCTTTTTGTTGTCTACTTGGAATTTTTCTGCATCGTTCAGAATTGTCACCATTTTATTTATATAATCAGCTTTGTTCATTATAACAGTACCAGAGCCCTTATCAGGTCTAAATATGACAATGTCATCGTTCTCATATAGTTTCTTCAGAGCTATTCTATGCTCCTTAGGTTAGCATCTTCTGCTTCTCCATTGGGGATATGTAGTATTGGTTGCTACGTGAACCTACAAGCTAACACTGTTCTGTTAATATTTTCTGTTTTCTGTCTTACCCCTCCCCCCTCTCTTCTACTTTGAAAGCGTATAAATTGATGATGAAAACTTAAACTAAAAATTATAATGTTTACATTTCGGATGCATCAATTTTATAGTATTTCTTCTCTACTACCGCTTAAACATTAAAGTGTATGTTATTATCATCTATACAAGCATTGTAATTTCAGGTAGTCTGCAGCTGATGAGAACCTGTGAAATAGAATGATGATATCATTTTATACTGTAAATTTCGTCTTCCTTTCTTTATCCAAATTCATATTTTTGTTTAAACTTGAACCTCCGCCGTTTGATTTGCACTTAGAGTCTCCTGTTAGCTGATATCAAGTATGTTACAGTATCTCTATCTACAAACTAATTTACACTCTTTTCAGGTTGTGGGCAGCTGTTGAGAAGCCGACAAGATTAATGATGGAGCCATCTTATTCTGCACAAATTATTTTGCCCAAATTCATAGAGGGGAATATGTGCTTGACTGATTCTAGTGTTTAATCAAATTCTTATCATCCGGTCCTACAACAATGATTAATAGACGCTCAGTAAAACTCATGTCATTTTTTGGTTATATTTTGATGTAAATCATGTTACCAGTTTTCCGTGACTTCTGTGAGGGCAAAGAATGCGAGCGTTAGTTTACGCCTGCTAATTTTTTTTCCTTCACGTTCCCCAGTGGAACATAGGGCTTGAAGATAGAGGCTTGAAGTTTCTGTAGCAGTGTTTATTTTTACAGGATGGGGTTGCCAGCCTCATGCTCAACCTTTCCTCTTGACCAGCATTATTTCTGGCTTAGCGAGGTAAGGGAGTGCGTCGGCCGGGGATCGAACCCCAGACCATGTGCATGGTCGGCGAGCGTCCTAACCGCTATGCCACCGACGCACAACCTACTAATTAGTTGTTATTTATTGCCTTTCTAGTGAAGTACGTCGGTAGATGTGTACGGTGTCAACAACTTGGGAGCTATCTATTTTATTCCAGTGACACTAGTATATAAACACCACTGAGAAGATTCATTCTGCAACATGCCAAGGACTACTAGTATGAGATGAGTCACTAATCAAAGTACCCATTACAGTTATACAGGAGGTCAATCACGAGTCCGAATAGCTCAATAGTAACGTCTCCAACTGAAGCACTAGGTGACGTGGGTTCAAATCTCACGGTGGACATGACTTCCTTCAAGACTGAATATACTCCCTGCTGACCAATGATTGCCAACAGTCTTCCAGTCGTCTAAAATAAGCGTTTCTCATTGGAAATCTATGTGACTATCTGCCGGATAGAAGTGGTTTGGAAACATTTTATTAAGATGTATGTGATTTGTGCATTTCATTCTAACACAGAGGCTTTTAACCTTACTTTCTTATGTCATAGTGACTGAACCCGATGAAATCTGCAGGAATCTGTCCATGAGATTACCTCTATTGGCTGCAAGTACCAAAATAATACTATTCCCATTTATATTGAATTTAAAAGTGAGCTCTTATTGTTATGATGGAGTGTTACTAGATTATTGGGTGTAGTTAACTTGACTAGAATGCACCTTCAGACATGTCAGTATAACTAAATGATCACTTGACAATATTCCCCTCACTCATATTCACAAAACCTCAGAAATTTAAGCCATAAATAAATAAACAAATCTGATTGGTTGTAAGATATCGCGGTTTCCTAGAAAATTAATCCATAAATAAACGAATAAAAATAGTCCAATCAAGTTATCATATCAGTAAGTTAACTCGTTTCTTACTGTCGTAAAAATTACTTAATGTATATTATCATTAATCAAGAATAATTTTAAACGCATACCAGATCCAGTTGATTCCATTCTTGATGCAGTATTCACTGTATCTCCGAACAGACAGTAACGTGGCATTGTCAGGCCGACTACTCCAGCGACGCATGAACCTAAAGTGAATTAGAAGTTAAGAAAGATGACAGTTTTTTGGTCAGGAGTCAGATATAAGTGATCTAAGCGTTTATTTATAAAATATTACAGGAATACGTTTCTCAAGAATAGGTGTTAAGGTGCCTAGAGAGACTGAAAAAAATGTCCCTACGGAAGAGATTGACTGACTGTTTATCAGTCCACTGGAGAGACTCCGCTGGTATGTTCATTTTGCTATAATTTACATGGAATTTAGTAAATTCCTTGCAAAATAACGAGGTGGCAAAAGTCATGTAGTCTGCACGACAGGAGAATCAGTCAGCCAGTTAACCAACTCAATTCTTTTCAACGATGCAGATAAAAATGAAAATTTCTTACCGGAAAGTTTACCAACTTGATTCAAAGCTATTGACTTCTATAGGTTTTAGGTTTTGAAGTTTCCGTGGTAGCGGTGTTACTCCTTCTCGCGGAGTGGAGTTGTTAGCCTTCTTCTTCTTCTCTCCTTACCGGTTTTACTACAGTCTAAGCGAAGTTTAGGAATTCGTCAGCCGGGGATCGTACCACACACCACCTTCATGGTTGGCAAATGTTCCACGACTGAACTACCGACGCACCTAATACCAGGGAGTACTGAACAACTGTTTCGTCTTAATTGGGGATTCTTTATCAGTGCGCACCAATGACCCCACCAGTTATCGAATTCAGGACAGTCAAGTTACAAGGTGATCTCGTAATATACTGAGTCATTGTGACGAAAAATGGGACAGTCCTCGAGGTAATGCAATAATCAGCCAACCCGTAGACGAGTTTGAGCAAGCTCACTTCACTCGTACAGGTAATTTTGGTTTGTTTCAGTTTAGAGACCGTTGCAGAGATTACACTGCAAAGAACAGATACTACACATGATCTTAGCTCATAGAGCCAAGAAGTGATCCTCAAAAGGATCCTCGAAATGTTATCTGAATTTAATACTTCTGAAGAATTTACTTGTTGACATTATTCTTACGAAACTTCTAGTCAGTCACATGTCACTTCATATGGGATTGTAGTGTAAAGGTGTGGTGAGAGCTGTCTACTAGCCAAATTGGTAGACAGTAATTTACGTCAATATTTACGTTCCCAAGATTTGTCGTGAGAAAATGTGAACAAAGATTGATTCAAAACCGACCACAGCAGACTTTGCGTAGGCGGATGCAGTTAACATATAGAGGATTTGACATTCAAGAAACAGTCACAAATAGATGAAAGATTAACTTTACGTGAGAAACAACCAATCGGAAGACTGTGTTTGTTTGCTTAAATATCCATAGTAATGTACATGAAAATATATAAATATTCGTTGATTTCCTTAATAAATGATCTGTTGCCTGACTCTTGCCTTCTGTCGTTACATAGACACCGTTGCAGAGATTACACTGCAAAGAACAGACTCTACATATGATCTTAGCTCACACAGCCGAGAAGTGATCCTCAAAAGGATCCTTGAAATGTTATCTGAATTTAATACTCCTGAAAAATTCACTTTTTGACATTATTCTTACGGAACTTCTAGTCAGTCAGGTGTTACCTCATATTTGATTGTAATGTAAAGGTGTCATTACCTAAACTCCAGCAAAACCCCACCTTTAAACTAAGTATTATGAACTATCGCAACGAATTCTCTGCAGAACTGCGCGACAGTACTATTTTTTAAAAGACTGATCTAGTGGGTAGAGTTTGTACCTTCAAGCAAAGAAGTTTTTCTGAAAATGTTGATTAAAAATTGTTTTTTCAAATTGTTTCGCCTTATACTGCTACTCAGATGAGACACACTAAGATGTTGTTATCACACATCCAAGTGACGATATTCCTGATTGCAGTGGAATGAATTATGCAGCAGGCGATGGAGAGAGAGAAGACAGGAGAAGGTTGGGCGTGCAAGAAGACTGTAGAAGATTTAGAATTCCATGACAATTTATGTCTGATATCACACAAACTCAAAGATCCACAGGCGAAAACCAACAAGTCTTCAGATGAAGTAGCGAAGATAGAACTTTGAGTGAACATAGAAAAGAGGCAGATGATGGTGACAACCAGCCAACAACAGGTATGAATAACTGGCAACCGGAGAAGATTGAAGGAAGTCACATCTTTCACTTATCCAGAAAGTATGGTCTCACCTACGTTCAGATGGCTAGGATGATGGTGTCAAAATCTAGAATCGCAAAGTAAAAGAGACTTTCATTGCCTTGAAATCAGTGTGGAAATCCACTGCACTAAGCATAAAGACTAAGATTCAGATTTTTAACGCCGGTCTCAAGGTAGTGGAATCCAGGATGTACATTTGTCCTCTGCTAGTCACCATCTACCACGAAATTAATTCTGGTTAATCCTCAGACATCATCGAAGCATCCGCACAAGGAGCTGAAATGCCAACACAGGCGGAACATTTCAGTTCAATCAATCAATGGGAAAGCCGAAATTGAATCAAAAGTCAATGATAACTGACACCCGATGTACAAGAGGTAGCTCTTGTGGCCCAGTTGATCTTCTGGACAACGGTGTGACGTTTGAAATAATAGGCACTGAGTTCCAGTCTCTGTGAGAATACCACCACTTACGAGTCCCGAACAGGACAAAATGGGGATCCTGAGTCCCACTGCTAATCACCAAATCATCTAATACTCTTAGTTTAAGACCTTTTTTAAGAATATTGTTAATAACTTCAAACAGAAACTTCACCAGCATTAATATCAAAAAGTGGGTATTCTTACCTGAATGTAATCCAATACGTAATCTAAGCGGTACATCAGGCATATGACGAATAACAAATGTCCCACACTGGCTTAATAAGTCTAGCGCCATAGTTGCTATTTCACCTGCATGTAATCGACCATTACGTACAGGCAAGCCAGAAACCACCATATATGCATCACCAATAGTTTCAACCTTTAGGGTTTTTTAAAACAAAGGAGGAAGTTATATACAGATATCGGTTTTGTTCATAAAGCCAGTGTAATGAATACAAAAAAGAACACTGTCATGTATAGAAGTAATAAATTCTTTAAATAAGATAGAGGAGACAGGATTAAGAAATTATGTGTAGAAATGTGATCACACAAAGTATCATTTGAATGAAGAGTTCACAACGAAAGAATATATATGTACTTTTATTTTCAATATTCATACCATCAGGGTAATTAATCAGTTCAAATATTTCCTTGAATATACACCTACAGAAATCTCTTTTGACTGGGTCCAAATAGACTTTTTCTATGTACTGGTAATGCAAAGTTCATAAATGAAAGCGATTGTTTCCGTCAGGTTAACGGTCTTGTTGTGGGAAGCCCGTTGGGGACACTTTTAGTGAATATCTATAGGTCGTACATTGAGTTAATCAGGAGATTTAACTGAATATAGTCAAAAGTGATAATCTTTGTTCTGTCACTTCAATTTTAAACGGAATGAATGAAGTTCAGAATAGCATATCACTTATGTCTGTAGAAGAGGAAGATAATTGTTTATCTCTCCTAGATATATTGCCTACTCAATAGATGATCTGATGGATCAATAAAACGATCTATTTATAGAAAACCTATCTGAACAAGACAATATCTTAATTACCACACTGCTTCTCTTCTGTTCGGTATAAAAGAGTCTTAGTAAGGTGTTTCTTTAGTAGAACTCAAATAATATGCAAAGAAGATACACCTGAAGATGAGGACAAAAAAACTGGCAGGAACTCTGGTTGATAATAATTATCCAGAGGAGTTCATAAGGGGATACGAGATGCTCAGGATTCCAAGGTTCACTCTCCAACTGGTGGCTAAGAAGGATGTATATATTTTCAAGCTGCCCTGCATAGGTGATCATAACAGTTTGATAACTATACAAAGATTGGATGTTGTGGTTAAAAAGAATTTCTGTGCAGCTGAGATCTGAATAATTGAGAATATGAAGCCTTTACATCCATTTAAGACCATTAGAGCAAACTAGAAGATGATATCACAACCCACTGTATACACCAATTTAAATGTACATATGGTCATACATACAATATAAGGTGGACTTACCGATCTCTACAATTAAGGGCTTCAAAGCCTTCCCCTTAAATGGTTTCCCTTGAACCCATTAATGGTGAGAATAGACGACCTAGCTCATTTATTGTGAAGCATATTATAGAGACGGACTTAAACCTATCTGTAAAACGTGTTTAGGGAGTATCCTAAAGTTTGCGGAAGCCCAAGGTTGATTAGGAAGTTAAAACCACCATTTTGTGTTCAAAACTATTTGCAATCATATTAAATCTTCCTTGGTAAACTTTGTTTCGATACCAGGGCAGAGGTAATGTTACCTTTCTTCTTTGCTTTCGTGATCTCTTTTGTTATTTTGACCTATACCTATTCTGTCACCCCTTAATTCTTTATTATTTTCATATATATATGTTTCCACGACAAATATGTGTGCGTTCAGACTATTTCCAATGTTTTGGGTAAATACATTACATGGTTCAGGATAAATTAAGTCTTCTTATTGTTTTGTAAAAATTCATACGATGGAACTAGTCATTTTAAAATATACATTATATATTGTTATATATGTAAAACTTGGACACTGTGGCGATATATTATTCCATATTAGTTTGTTTTAGATATATCACACAATGAAACAGTATTACTGTTTACTGCATGACAGAGTTTCCAACACAATTTATTATTGTTCATAATTATGTCATTAATTATAATCAAAATACTTCGAAACTTTCTACAGTTTCCATTGTTCTCTCCTATTTGTCGTCGTTGGAGTAGCAGAATTTTGCAGATATCTGGGACAGGTGTTGAATCATTCCTACTACATGTTTCTGCAAATGATTCGATAAACACAGCTTCCATCAAGTCACCAATATCCTCGATTGTGGCAGATATATTCATGGATAAGTGGAAAAACTTAGCGGTTGAAATGTTCAGCCCCACCCAAATTGTATGGTGGAGGTATAAAGATGACACGTTCACCGTACTTAGAATACAGAATTTTCGAACTTATCAACTCAAAGGTGGAGACAATTCAGTTCACTTGTGAATTGGAAAGTCAGGAAGGGGGGCTTCTGATGTTAGATTGTAACGTAAAACAGAAAGAAGATTGGAAGTTAAACACTTTAGTGTTCACAGGAAGTCCACACAGTCAAACAGATATTTGAACTTCCGATCATCCCACCCAATGTCAGTAAAAATAGGATTGGGGAAATGTTTGAGTAGTAGAGCACAAAAACTAAGTAGTACCAAGGAAAATCTAGGACAGGGAGTGAAGCATATAAGAAAAGCTTTGAAACTTAATATTTACCCTGATAAATTAGTCAGAAAGTATGTAGGGAAATGCACAGATAAAATAAATAATGATAGTAGTGATAGCGATAATAATAATATTAATGATGACATGCATGTCAAACATGCATAGAATAGTGACAAGGCCAACAATAGGGAATATAAATCATCAGTAGTCCTTCCATGCAAAGAAAGAACCTCGAAAACCTCACGCAGAATTCTAAACAAGGCAGGAATAAAAGTAGCTGGCATTGAAACCCACAAGCTGAATTAGAAACAAGCTTTGTCGGTTAAAGGATCAATCCTGTGGAGCCAATTAAACAAAACAGTTTAGTTTATGTAATTCTTTGCCTGCAGTGATTGTTAAGCCAAATACATAGGTCAAAGTAGTAGAACAGGGGCAGTCAGGCTAACGAAGCACAAAAACCTAGCAAAATCTAGATCAGTCGTCCCAAAGAAGATATGATATCTGGAGAATAGTTCAGCTATAACACTTACTATATGCACTTACACACAGCCATACAAAATTGGATGGGATAAGATGACAGTTTTAAAATCTAATGTAACGATGGGGTGGAGGGAGAGAGAAAACGAAAGCTTTGTTTATCGAATCAACTGCAAACACGTGTAATAGGAATGATTCAAAACGTGTTCAGTTGGAGATCTGGAAAATTCTACTACTCCAACGACGACAAATAGGAGAGAACAAAGAAAAAAAAAGTAAAACTCAGGTTTCGAAGTCGTGTGATTATAATTGATATGATTGTGAACAATAAATTTTGTTCAAAACGTCATCCGGTAAATAATACTGTTTCACTGACTGTGTGATACATCTAATAAACAAACTAATATGGAATAAGCTAGTATTCTTTTTAAAAAACTGACATCATGTCACCTTTGCAAGTAGGTTAAAATCGCTCTGCACACACACACTGAATTCATTTCCCTAGGCTGTAAGCAGATGATGAGAAGCCAATGAAATGACATAGATGGTACCAGTGTATTCTGCACAAACCACTGTTGCCTTCGCTTCATTCAAATCTTTTGATTTGAATAAATGCAATAAGTTCTACCTAAAATGTTACTCAGTTAATAGTATCTGGAGTAGTTAAACTTTAAGCACAATTAACTACCAATCAGCGAATGACATTGAAAGCACCAATCATATGAAGGAGGCATTTTTGTGAATGGAATACATATATTAATGAAAAAAAGCATAAAAACTACATGAAACTGTTACATAGGATTTCTTTCTCTGACATGTGATAAAAGCATCTCTCAGATTAGCAAAGGAGTGTCAACTGAAAAGTTATACCACATGCTATACATATATTCATCTAAATGACTATAAATGACATCGCTCTGATATCCATCAGTGGCCTTCCCCAAAAGCTTTCTATGGAATTGGCGTATATCCTTATAATGGAGACCACAAAATTATTATAATGGTTGACTCTGTGGTGAATATGGAAGGGATGACAAGGAGTTATAACCTTTCCACTCATCAGTGTGTATCATAGATCCCTGTTTCAGAAGTCGAGAGATAATAGGTATTAAGGAAGTCGGCTTTCTGTCTGCTATCCTCTTGACGAATCCTTTCTGTAGAGAGGTGTCATATATGCTGATCACCCAAACATTTTTGCTCGTTCACGACCACGGTTGTATTTTTTCTTCAATAAGTCAGTTTCTTCCACGTGTACGACTCCTAATAACGAAGTGATTCTCTCCATTTTCCATGACGTGATATATCTGCAGTGCTGGTACCACTGAACTGTTGATACGAGACTATTTTCAGTTTCAGCAGCTGCACTTCTCACAGGCTGCTTTAAACCCGGTGATTACAAATATACAAAATCTGGGTTAATGACAGGTGGGACCTGGCAAAAAAGTTCTTAAGAAATATTAGAATCATCAGCTTACCTTCCCTGACACTAACTCGTCTGAAACAAATTGCACAAAAATGGACATATCCCTCAATCGACCTGCTGAAGCTTTTTATACTCAAGACACCTTCACATGAACAAATCCTTTCTTTCCTGAGCAACCTCACATCCAAGCAATACTAGAAAACCTTATCCTCACCAAACTGCAAGCGCAACTGGGTTAGAGCAGGCATTTGACTCGAATGAAGCGGAATAGAACCTTCAGCTCACTTGGATGAAACTCATTAGACCATTCAAGGTCATTCACTGATTGGTAGTTAGTGGTGCTTAAAGTTTAACTTGGCCCGGTATCGTATTTCGTTATACTAATATCGGATTATCTCGTTTAATGTGTAATGATACTCTACTAAAATGCTCATTTTCTACATATATGTTACACTATTTATGTTCTGGGTTGTATGTAAACACCAAAATAACTCTGTTAGTCTGTTAAAAAAAAGGAGATTCATCGAAAGCTTTGATGATCTATCTTACCTTATATACGTCATAATAATCAATAGTTGCATCAAACATTGTATAAAGATCATTTAACAGGTCAACAACTTGAAAAGGTGTCGACAATGCAGAGATCGTCGTAAAACCAACAATATCACTGAAGTATATTGTCACTTCATCGAATGCCTCTGGGCAAACAGCTTTTCCAGACATCAGCGTTTCGGCAACAACTCTGGATTTAATATTTTATAAAAACAAATGGAAGGACGCAAATATTCACGAAAATATTTAAAATTATAGATATTTAAATATATATATCATATAGAGAAAGTAATAATCAAATTAATAAACCATTATTATTGTCATGATAATTTTTTATTCCCTCGCTTTCCGAGTGGAACACACAAGGGCTTTAAGCATGAGCTTTGACGTTTCAGTAGCTGTGGCGTTTATCCTTCAGCAAGTGAGGGTATTAGGCTATCACCCAATCTCCCTTCTTTACCAGAGCCACTATTGGCTAAGAGAGGTTTAAGAGCGGGTTCATCTGAGATTGAACCCCACACCGTGTTTGTGGATGGTGAGTATTCTACCACAGGACCACTGACGCACACTGCAACAGGGTTCAACTAATTAAGGTTGTTTATTAGATAGTTGGAGGCAATCGGTAGGAAACCTTGCTCAACCTACTTTTCGTGCTAGTTGGCACTCACCAGTCAACAAGACGTATCTGCAACCGTGAAGGAACTCATGTGCCTTCTGAGATTCGAACCCACGTCACCCAGTGCCATCTTCAGTCAGAGACGTTACCACTAGAGCTATTTCGGCTCACGATTGACCTCCTGGAGGACTGTAGTGGGTATTTTCATTGGACACTAGTAACTAGTTTGACGTGTCTAGTCGTTTCTTTGGTGCAGAATGAATTCTGTCAGTCAGGTTTGCAATGTGGCCACCGTTCTAGGTAGCAGATACGATTTGCTGACTGGTGAGTGCCAACTAGCACGAAATCGAAGTCATACTAGGCTTCCTGCTGATTGCCTCCAACAATCTGATGTCATCAAATCAGTGCGCACCATGATGGTGAGCTACCAAGAATGGTGGCCACATTACAAAACCTGACTGGTAGAATTCAGTCTGCACCAAATAGAGGAATGGACACATCGCACTGGTTACTAGTGTCCAATCAAAATTAAGTTGTTTGAACATTAATTCCTTACAGTGTTTAGCTACTTGACATTTACAAATAGAAATCAATCTGTACGATTAGCAACCAGACACAAGACAACAGTTACTCCCCAGTAACTGATGGATACATTCATTACGGTCCTACTGGAGGTCAGTCGTGAGTCCGAATAGCTCACTTATAATATCATTATCTGGTCAGGCCGAGTTCATATAGCATACAGTCCTCTTCATACCATGCCCAAAACAATTGGATCACCCACTATCATCCTATAGCTCTTTGCAGATCTGATAACAAAATTTGACGAGAATACTGTCACAGCATATAGTGGGCTAGGTGCCCAGACAGTCAAAATAACTAAATATATATATTTTAAGTACTTCATTGAATTCAAATAATCTGAAGTAAGTAATTCTCTGACAAAATCGAAGGATGAGGATAATCTATCGACCTTCGTTTCGTGCTTACTGGCACTTGTCACCAAGGTCTTTTCTGCAACTGTCAAGAAACGCACGTTCTTTCGTAGGTTGAAACATACAACACCTAGTGCTGGAGTCAGAGGCGTTATCAATGAGGCATTTAGACTCACGACTGACCTCCAGTAGGACCATAATGAATGTATCTATCAGTTACTGGGGAGTAACTGTTGTCTTGTGTCTGGTTACTAATCGTGCGGATTGATTTCTATCAGTAAATGTCAAGTAGCTAAACACTGTAAGGAATTAATGTTCAAGCAGGCTTAATTATTTGAATCCTGTTACAGTGTGCGTCGGTGGTCCTGTGGTAAAATACTCACCATCTACAAACATGATACGGGGTTCAATCTCTGACGGACCCACTCTTAAACCTCGCCTAGCCAGTAGTAGTCCTGGTAAAGAAAGGAGGTTGGGGGTTAGGCTAGTACCCTCACTCGCTAAAAGATAAACACCGTAGCTACTGAAACTTCAAAGTTCCAGCTTGAAGCTTTACGATTTTGCGTGTCACCCTTGTGCAGAGGGCTATGCTAATCTTCTCTGTATCGTTCCAATTTTAGAATTCCAGCTTGAAACCCTCATGTGTTCCACTCGAAGTGCAAGGGAATTAAATAAGAAAGATAATAATATTCTCCCATTTAGTCCCCTTAAACGTTTATAGACATATTGTTCACTAATATTACCCTCTTGGTATTAAAGAACTTCAAGTAAATAAGACAATCATTTCAAGTAAAACTTACGGAGGAAGCATTCTTGCGATTAGAAGTTCAGTTTTCTTTTTCTCAGTCTCCAGTTCTTCTGTACGTACTCGCACTTGATCTTCTAAATCGGCTGAATACTTTTCCATCATTTTGAACATATGATCGACTATATTAATTTTTCTAAAATAGTATAATTATCATAGAGATTTAATTAGTTCTTAAAGTATTTATAAAATTTCTACAAATAGTTTAGCAGTGCATATTGTAACTTTACATTTAACTTCAGAATATTATTATTATTTGTGTCAATTTCAGTGAACATTGAATAGTTTGTTTGTTCGAAGTGATCTTCATTTGGCGGGAGACAAGAAGGCTGTCGTTGCTTAATCGTGTACTGGTTGGCAGAAGATTGGAGAAATACGATCAGAAGTATTCTTGTACATTATATTAACGTTTATTTACAGAATTTAGCACTAATTAACCACTGCAAATCTGTTTCATTATCGCTTGATGAATAAATAATCGTGCTACCCAACCGTTTTCTGTTGTTTCGCATCGGTTACAGTGCATAGTGTTCTACGTATTGAGCTTAGTCTTCTGAAACCAGCGATAGATCCAGGACCTCAGCGATGTCAATATTTGACAGGGTTTCAACAGAACACCTCAGTTTCATTCTGTTCTCTGTAGTCTTCTTTAACAGGCGCCATGATTTCCCACAAGCTGTCATCTCCTATTCATACGATCTCCTATATGTTATGACCCATATCCAACAGGGTGTTTCCTATTCGCGTTCCAGTCAAGTATTGGCTTGACATGCCATGTTACTCAACGATCTCTTCAATGGTGCATGTCCAGTCCATCTGCACTTTCTTCGGAATATTCATTCAGACATTTAGAATAAAGCAAAAAAAATTGAACAAAGAACATTCTTTTCGATAATTTCCTCTTCTGGCTATACAATTATATATCTGTATGTTTATATACATAGGATATTCTAGAATAGTAGTCAATAACAATATAAGTGGTTTTTAAATAATATCTATTCGTTAAATAAGATGCTTAAATTATAATAATAATAATAATTTTCTATAGTTTGGTTTGTAAGGATTAGTTATGTTTTACGAGTTGATCACGGACTGATATCAGTTAGAGAACCACTGAAAACCAGGGAGTACTGGACAGCTGCTGTTTCATCCTAGTTTGGGAATCACCGGCAGTACGCACCCACTGGGATTCGAACCCAGGACCTTCCGGTTACAAGGCAAGCTCGTATACCATTCAACAGCTGTCCAGTACTCCCTGGTTTTCAATGGTTCTCTAACTGATATCAGTCCGTGATCAACTTGTAAAACATAACTAATCCTTACAAACCAAACTATAGAGAATATTGGTTTTTTTAAAACACTATCGATTTGCTAAGTAAGATCAATGGAATTACAGTTCACTACAGATGCATAAGTTGTAATAAGCATAAAAATGTAATAGCAAATAGAATATCAAATAAAATTAAGGAAATTTCTACAAAACATTGAGGATCATTAGAACCTTGATGACCAAGGTAATTACAGTGTTTGAACCAACTTCTTCTTTTGGATACATAAGTTAGGTTTCTTAATGTGGACCTCAACAGCCAGCCTCAGCAATATATGTAGTAGACGAACTCTTAAGGTGAAGTTAAGATCAGTTTGTATGCGGTAAATGACTTTGAAAGGTGCCTCATCAACATGTCAATCTTGTGTTCTGTATCCACTAGTCGAGATAAAAATAGCTCTGTGAATGGATTTTGTTCGAACCTTTACTTAACCATGCAGGGTGATTTTCGGAAATCCGTTGTAACTTTTAGAAATGAATTATATTCAGAGGCTTTGTACAACTGTCCAAGTTTATTTTACACAAATAGACGACTTATTGTCTGAGAGTGACTCCGAGGTATAAATCAAGGCATGTAAAACGAATGGAATTATATTTAAGCTAAATTGGTCTGAAGTCGAAATTTCGTATTCAATTCTGCTTGCATTTACTTTCATGTTAAAGTAGTATACCCTTAAATATAGTCTGTAAATTAAGTCATATCATTCGTAAGAAATGTAATATTAAAAAATATGCGGAGAGGGAGATTCGAAACAGATGGTCTGCTCATCGAATCAGTTGAGAGTACACTGCAACAGAAATGACTCAACACGGATATCTAGTAACTAGATGAGTGAAAAGTGAAAAATACTTTTACCTTCCTTGATTGAGTAGTCTAAACTGTTGATAGATTTCTTCAAATGTTGGTCTCATTACAGGACTCTCTGCCCATGCACGTTTCATAAATTCTATGTACGCTGGTGGAGCTTCAGACTGTGATACCTTGATTGCAAAGTAAAAAAAATTTAGAAAGATAAAATTAAAGACTGACTACTGTTCACCAACAGTTATGTGGAAAACAAAATAAACTCTTTCTTTGATTGGACACTAGTAACTAGTGTGATGTGTCTAGTCCTTTGTTTGGTGCACACTGAATTCTATCAGTCAGGTTTGCAGTGTGGCCACCATTCTAGGTAGCTCGCCATCACGGTGCACTTAGAATGGTAGATAAATTGCAAACCTGACTGATAGAATTCAGTCTACACCTAACAAAGGACTATACACGTCACACTAGTTACTAGTGTCCAATGAAAATACCCACTACAGTGCTACAGGAGGTCAATTTGAGCCAAAATAGCTCAGTGGTAACGTCTCTGACTGAAGGCAGGACTGGGTGACGCGGGATTCGAATCTCAGAAGGCATACGAGTTCCTTCAAAGCTGCAGATACGTCTTACTGACTGGTGAGTGCTAACTAGCACGAAACCTAGGTCCAAGGCTTCCTGCCGATTGCCTCCAACTATCTAATATCATGAATAGCTTTTTGTCGGACTTAATTCAGTGTGTGGTCTCGGCTAAATAGTCTTACCTTAAATTTCTCGATAGGTTAGACAGTTAACTTCATTTACGCGAACTTGTTCGTTCTGCTGATACTTTTATCGTGCAGAGCACTGAAATAGAAACTATGTGAAGCATTAAATGCGCTAGAATAGTTCTTTCGTCTGACTTTACTTGGTCATCCCATATCTTGTTGGTTCCTAAGAAATTGTTTCTTCTAACCTTCTACATTAAAAAGTTAACATAATCAGGAATCACTGAACTTCTACTTTTACAATCTTTTGACTTCTCCATCTTACCTCTTGTTCTTTATTGTTCCCCTTTAGTTATCCCTGGGCTACTCAAAAATTACTATGTCATACTGCGAAGAGTAATAAAGGCTGTTCGGCAGGGCATGTAATGTGCCACTAAGTCAGTTCTTTAATACTGTAGTAGACAGACACTTGAACTCATGCGAGAAATGGGAAAAAGCCATATTGTCTGCATCTTATCATCCTCTCTATTCAACAACTTTCGCAGTCTTGCATCTCATACGGTAGGAGGACTAGAAGTTATTGTAAAATATTCTGTTCTCATACAACCAAGTACAAAAACTCAACGATATCCCATTTGAATAAGATTTATCGAACTTAAAACTTACTATGTAATTAACACGATAAATGACCCTTTGGTCTTCTATTTGTGATTTAGGGTGACTGCCTTTCATTTATCTTACAATTCCAGTTATTAATAACATTATTACTACTTTATACTTTTTGTACATTTCCGACTATTTGTTACTGCTAATGCCAAAATGCTGCTATTATCCATTTTATTTACCTATACCATGTAATGTTTTCTTGTTGTTGTGGTTGTTGGGTAAATTAGATACTATATTGTAGCAAATGGTGTATGATAAGTTTATTATTATTCCCTTGAATTCCGAGTGGAACAGAGGTCTTCAACAACAGATATCCATGTTCTTCTATTTTCTTCTGTCCTCTTCATCTGGGTCCACGACTGACCGTAATCTTCCATCGCCTTCTCAACGTGTGCTCAATTCATCTCTATTTTCTTCTACATATTTGTTGAGAAGTCGGCTCTCTCCTGTTGGTTCGTTCCCAGTCAGCCAGAGTTTCTTGTTGATAATTCTTCCTGGCTGACCATTTGATCTTCAGGATGGAGCCAGCCAGCAAAGGTGGCAGCTGTTTAAAAAAGTCTGAAGTGGTTGGTTGGAAATCCTTTCCGTGACATGCTGGCCACATTTCTGCCCCATACAGAAGTAGCGACTGACTTCAAATTTGTGTTGAATATCCGAATCTTTTCCTTTATGCTATTGACTGAGTGCAGAAGAATTCCAAACTGGTTTCAAGCTGATGAAGGTGTATCTTGCCTTTCGGATTCTGGCTGGCTGGTTTTGACATCTTCATCCGTGCCGTGTGCCTGTGGTTGAAACCGTACTTCCTGGCCAGGTAAATGAAGGGAGTAACCTCTGTCAAATCTCTCTCTTTGATGATGATTGGTTCTGGTTGTTGTTGACGCAGCTGTTGGTTGGTTATCTTCATCACCTCCGTCTTCTCTATGTTTGATAAGTACTGTCTGGAATAAAGTGAGTCATCATTATTATTATCTATTTATTTTATTCCTTTGTGTTCCTACTGGAGGAAAGGCCTTCAAGTTACAAGCTTCGAAGTTTCAGTGGCAATGATTTTACTGTTTTTACGGAGTGGGGTTACTGGCCCCACATGCGGTGTTCCCTCTTTACTGGGCTTACTATCGGTTAAACGAGGTTGGCGATAGAATCCCGCACCACATGTGATGTGGTTACCGGGCAGTCTACAATTGAACCGCTAACACTTAACCCCTGTAACAGTTCTATAATATTCTCTTTAGAACCAAAAATCTAACTTAGATATTAGTAAAAAATCAATTAATCAATCATCAATATCCTAATGGTCTTTAAAACATTCAAATGAAAGCAATTCATTCAATTGTGTAAAAGAAAGATAGACATTATCAACCAGGATTAGTAGGACACCTTTATACATCACACTTACTTTTGGTCTACACAACGGTGGCGGTTTACGAACTTTACTCAGTATCTCTTTTGGACTTATTCCAAGCATTCCATAGGGTTCATCACGTGTTATAATTTCTTGCATAACAATGGCGAATGAGTAGACATCACCTTTTTGACTACCAAAATGTACATTGTTCTCTTCACGTAAATGTTCTGGTGCAGTCCATAGTAATTCTTAATGGCATATTATAAATAAAATGAAATATTATTTTACAAAGTTAGTATAAAAATGCATAATTTCTATTGGGAAAGATACTGAAAAATAAAAAAACTGTTCATTAAAATATAATTTTTGCTTATTTCTTTAGGTCCCCAGTGAAACATAGGGCTTCAAGCTAGAGGTTTGAAGTCTCGGTAGCAGTGGTGATTGTCTTTTGTGGGATGTAGTTGACAGCCTCATGCCCAACCTTCCCTCTTTACTTGTGATATTACTGGCTTAGCGAGATAAAGCAGTGAGTTGGTGACCAGGGGTCGAACCTCGAACCACATGAGGCGTGGTTAGCGAGCATTCTGCAGCTATGCCACCAACGCATTTCAAATCTAATAGTAGGGTGATATGTGTTTCAGGATTTTTATATGCAGTTTAATCGTCATAATAAAGGCTTTTTTGTATTTCCCTGCGAAACAACCTTGTCCATATAAAAGACCAAATCCCTAAAGATTCTTTATCTAATTGTGTCTATAAAATAAAATGCTTGGAATGTGATGCGACATATATCAGACAAACATCGCCAGAAATCAAGAGAATCCGAAGAAATGAACACCGTAGAGCATCTCTTCGACCACCGAGAAATCCGGTTGAACTAGAAAGATTTGAAAAATCCCCAGCCATAGGTCTACACGCTATAGAATCAGGCCACAAAATTGATTTTGACAATTTTGAAATAATCCAGAAAAAGCTCAGAAATCACAAAGAACATCTGATATCACCAGAAGCACTTCATATTAAATGAAATCCCAATTGTCTAAATAAGAATGACGGACTAGAACAGAATTTGACCTGGTTACAACACCTCCCTCCCCCATGAAATGAAAAAGTCAACACGAATGTGATAAGCAATTTCATGACGTAAACACACGCTGCTTTCATGATTTTATACACTAATCAAATCTGACAATCTACACCTGATTTTGTTATCTTTACCAATTGGCCAACTTGACAACGCAAATATGACCTCATGCTTAGGAACGATGATTAAGTCGTTATATATAAGCTGAGATTTTGTAAATTCTGGTTTAATAATACCACTTTGATAAAGCTATTAGCAGCATTAAGTAGCGAAACTTCAGTGTCGTTTTGATTTTCATTCAATGGGAAATACAAATAACCTTTATTATAATGAATATCATAAACCCAATGCCCAAATTTTTTTCAAACTGTTAAAAGTGAATTTGGTTTGGACATATATAATTTAATCGTCAAACTTTAAAACTTTATCAACAGTATTTTACATTACATCATGAATTTATGCCTATTTTATCTTGAACTTGAATACTGATTTTTGAATGGTACTTTATTTGTCTTTTCAAATTTGGATTCTACTCGACAGCCTAGTGAACAGTGTCATTCAAAGGTCTGCTTAGCGTGCATCGAATTCATCTCCATTCTCCTCAGAATACTTGTTCAGCATTGCGTTCTTGATTGGTTTGTTCGGAGAGTTCATTGTTGCTAATCCTTTCTGGCCAATCATCTGACCTTCACTATGATACAGGAGAAGGCAGATGTTGATAAAAGTCTGCATCGGCCTGTTGTAAATGCTTTTCCTGACGGGCCAAGTTTCCGATCCATAAAGAAACAGTCGTTTGACACTGGAGTGTCGAAAATCCGAATCTTGTTCCTTATGCCTACTTAGTACAGTAGATTGATTTCAGAGTGTTGAAGGCCTGTTTTGCTTTTCTGATCCTGACTGCCTTTGACATCTCAATCCATGCCGCCTGTAGTTGAAAGGATGCTACCTGGATAAGTGAAGGGAGAGACCTTATTCAAATTTCTCTCGCTGATGGTAATTGATGCATAATTCTTTCTATTAGTTGGTCATCTTCATCACCATTTTTTCTCTATACTCATCTGAAGTCATGTCTTCATGGCCTGCCTATTCTGCCACCTCGTTGGTTTTCGTCTGTGGATCTTCGAATTTATGAAACATTAGGCAAAAGTTATCCGTGAAATTCAAATATTCTAGAGTCTTCTTGTCGGTCCGACGTATTCCTGTCTTCTCACTTCCCACGCATGGTCTGTTGCATAATCCAGTCTACCGTAATTAGGAATACCGTCGATGATAGTAGGCAGACAGCCCTGTCATACTCCTGTCTTCACTTCAAAGGTTTCAATGGATTTTCCTTTGTGGATTACTTGGCAATCGCTACAGAAACTTCAAAACACGATTCTTGAATTCATTCTTACAGAATTCCATGTGAGGGGATTTCTAAATCAAGAAGTCAACTATATGATCCGTAATTATTGTATCATATGAGAAATTCAGAAGCAGATCTTTTATGTGCGAATTATTTTTTCATCATGACACCAAGATTCTACTCAAAAGGGGGAAAGTCACAATTACACGGTGCTATACAAAGTGACCAGAGACACTACCAGCAGACACAGCTACCATTGAACATCAGCCCTCCGACTAATATAGAAGTAGTGAAAGTGATAACGCTACTGAAAGCAACAGGAATAAATGGGATTTACACAGAAGTACTCAAAAGGGACCCTGAGATCTCAGCGAAAATGGCCACGGCAGTGTTCCAGAAAGTCTGGAAGGAAGGGAAGCTACTTGCGAATTGGAAGAAAGGCTACCTTGTGAAACTACTGCTTAAGAGGAGCTGATGTAGTACAAAATTATGCTTGCGTCCACCCCCAGCAAAATATTAAGCGGCGTAATCCTGAACAGGCTGGATTCAGATAAAAACAAACCATGAATGGATCAGTTTGTAGCGCAACGTATAGAATGGAACTCAACTATCTGCCTCAGACACACAGACTTTATAAACATCGTCAGCAGTATCGATCCGGAAGTAATTTCAGATCTGCTTCAACACTACGGATTACAGTACATCTTGATCGATGACAGATGTCATCAATACAGTCCACAAGCTCAGAGGCACACAGGAAGCAGGACTACAATACAGTTTTTACAGGTAAACGATCAATTTACAGCTAATTTGAAATGTTTTCATTAACTGACTGTGAAGGAATTCAACTGGCAATATATCATAGTTAATAACGCCATCGAGGATTAAAGAGAGATTCCTGAATGATGGTGCTGTGTCCTCGTTGAGAGATATCAGTATATTTCTACTCCAGAGAATATTTTTTACATACTTTTACTTTGTGAAATTTAGAAAAGGCAAAATTCACCAGATTATAAACTGCCGTGTAAACACACTAGTTGCATCTCTACGGGTAGCCCATCTGTCTGGATAAGCTTCAGTCCACTAAAAATCAACAGCGGTAAACTTCAAGATAACTTCTAACAACAAGTGACAGCCATATAACCATATAACTAACAGTGGCTAACTAATACATCTCTAAAGTTTGAAGGTCTGGAAAGTGGGTTTCAATTTCATTGTGAACTGAGATGATGTTATCTCCAGTTGATGCGTATCAGAATGGTTCAGCTATAAGTCATTATCAACAAAACAAAAACACAAATATAACCAAAACGTATTATACGGAAGAAAGTGAAATATAATGTGAATATATTTAACGGCGTACCTTCATCTTTTATCTTTCTATTTGTCCCATATATACTATAGATATCAGGTAATCCATAGTCTGTAATTTTTACAACCCATCTGCCATCGACGCAACAGTTTGTAGATTTCAGCCAGCCATGCTTTTTAAGCGGACTTGAATGTACATATCTCATACCCTTAATTCAAGATAAAAAACAGATGCAACATAATATGTATGAATAATATAAGAATATTTAATCAAAATATTATTTCTTAATTTATTTGATTAGCAAAAAGCTACATTCCTTATTAAAAATGTAGTCAGTTATAGGTTACAACCAATCTTCAGCGCTTTCTAGTACAGTTGATAGTAATAAGTAAGGATCAAGAAATTGGTGCCGCCAACAATCGTATATCTTATCCAACAGTTGCAGGATAATGTTGTATGCCAAGGAATCCATAATGAGAAACTGATGGAATCCTTCAAAGTGAAGACAGGAGTAAGACAAGATGGCTGCCTACTATCTCAAATGACTTTCCTGATCGCGTCTGACAGATAGCAGGCAACAAGGAGATAGGCGTAAAATGGAGCCACACAAAAAACTTGGAGGATCTGCACTTCGCCGATTATATATGTTTGATTTCCAACAAATTGAAAGATATGCAAGTAAAAAGCAACAAGTTGAACATAGAGAAAATGGAGGTGATGAAGATTCCTGGCCAACACCAACAGACAACAATCAGTCAGCATAAATGGGAGGAGTCTGAAAGAAGCAACCCCATTTACCTACCTGCCTACCTACCTACCAGGGAAGCATCGTTTCAATTACAGGTGGACGGAACTGATGAGTATATCATCGAAGCGAAAATCAGGAAAGCAAATCAAGCTTTCATTTCTGTCAAGTCTGCGTGGAGATAGATCAACAGCACTCAGCATGAAAATGAAAATAAGATCCGAATTTTCAAATCCAATGTGAAGTCAGTCAGTGATGCTATACGAATCAGAGACTTGGTGCCGTGTCACGAGGAGCACTTCGAACAAACTACAGATATTCATCAAAAGCTGTCCTCGCTCAATACTTCGCTCAAGATGAGATGGCCAGCCAGGAAAGATTAGCAACAGGGATCTCTGGCAATGCATGAACCAACCCGGCAGGAACCAAGAGTACAACAGGAGGGTGTGCTGGAAGAAATGGAGGTGGATTGGCTGGCCATACTCTGAGAAAACAAACCATCAAGCAATATCACACGCCAGACTGTGGCTCGAGTGGCACCAGACTGAATGGGAGCCGACGAGTTGGTTGTAAGCACTAGGGTGACATGTAGGAGGAGATGAAAGTATGTGGGCAGACATGGAGCTAGGTGAAAATGTTGGCAGAGAACCGAACGCAATGGAGACGTGCGTCAGAAGCCCTATATTCCTCTTGGAACTGAAGGAATAATAATGATCAAGAAGTTGACTTTTACAAGATTAGTAGAAATTTTATTGTTCCCTTAGGTTCCAAATGGAAAAGAGGGCTTCTGCAACACATCGCCATTTCACCTTGTTCTCTGTAGTCCTCTTTAGCTTGCTCCAGGATGGCAAATAGACTCTCATATTCTTCTCACACGATCTCATCTATGTCACTCTTGGACAAGTGCTCAACTTGTCGTTCTCGCTCTAGGATATGATGGCATTGTCATTCAATGGTCTCCTCAGTGTGTGCGTCTGGTCCATCTCCATTTTCTTCAGGATATCTGTTGGATAATTGGTTCCTGGTTGGTTCATTGCCAGGGTTGCATTGTTGGAAGAATTATCACTGGTGAAATATTAAACTCTACCGTTAACAAAAAGTTTGAATTACACTGATGAGTAAAATTCGTAGAAACTATTTTTAGGTAAATACTGAAGTAAAAGTTTTAAATGGAGGTACCTTGGTTAATTTAGTTAGTAATTTGCTACTGCCATGCCTAAGTAGTTCTTCATTCACCTCTATCTTTAGCAACGGCATTTGCAGTCAGTGACCAGATTTCTAAATCTCTCTAAGATTCATTTAGCTGGTGATCAACTGTAATGCATCTGTAGGTCAATTGAATGAATGCCAAGAATGCTTTTCCAAACGCATCACCTATTTGTTCTGAGAAGTTATCGTAATTCCATTCCTTTCGGAGGCTGTTACACTTAACATAGGACCTGTTTCCATGTAATAAGTCTAAGTAGTCGACAAGCACTACCCAATGGTAACGGCTCTTCCATATACTTGGCTTTATAATGTACCGTTGTTTGTGTTTGTCAAAAAAACACTGACGCTTATGCGGCATTTTGTTTCTCCATCACTTTTGATTTTAGATTTGGATTCAAACTCATTGATTGAGAATAAACTTGATGCCTATCTTAATTACTTCCTAATAAGTTTCTGACACACTGAAACTAATTCTTCTGGCAGCTGGTCCCGAGAGTTTATAACTGGGTGGATGGGTGCGGGGACCAGTATTCGACAGTATGCTCTGAAACTTATAGTGAATCACTGCATCGCCTCAAATGTGTATACACTCTGCATAATTATCATATAGAGCTGTAATTTAAGTTGCGGATAGGTAGTGCATAATTGTGAGTGATGTGAGGTATGGAGAAAAGTGTCTTTGTTGATAAGCAACATAATTCATCAGAAGGTGGCCTTAGTAATACAACTGTTCTTCCAAATTCACTAAGAAACTCTGTCTAACATCACATTTACCACTGGCTGCTATATGAACAATTTAATGACCAGCATAAACTATTTCCATGAGTGTTTAACTTTATTTTGTTCATGTTGTGGTAGAATTTTTCCTCATTATTACTCATTACGCATTAATTATTATTATTCCCTTGTGTTCCGAGTGGAACATAGGGCTTCAACAAAACATCTCCAATTTGTCCTATCTTCTGCCGTCCTCTTCAGCTGGGTCCACGATTGACCAAACTCTCTCATCTCTTCCTCACATGATCTTCTCCACGTCACACATTGACGACCCACTCATCGCTTCCCATTTGGATGCCACTCTAGAGCCTGGCATGCGATGTTATTCGGCGGCCTCCTCAATGTATGCCCGATCCATCTCCATTTTTTCCTACAAATTTGTTGAGCAGTCGGCTCTTGGTTGGTTTGCTCCCATAGTTTCTTGTTGCTTATTCTTTCTGGCTGGCCATTTGATCTTCACTATGGAGTCAGCGAAGGCAGCTGCTGATGAAAGTCTGCAACCTGTTGGAAATCTTTTTCATGACACGCAGTGCAAGTTTCTAACCCGTATAGAAGAACCGAACGACTTCCCATTGGTGTTGAAAATCCAAATCTTGTTCCTTATGCTGGCTGAGCTGGTGCAGAAGACCTCCAAACTGGTTTCAGGTTGACGAAGGCGTAAATTGCCTTTCCGATTCTGACTCTGACATCTTCATCTATTCTGCGGCCTGTAGTTGAAACGATGCTTCCTCGATAAGTGAAGGAGGTAAACTCTGTTAAATCTTTCCCCTCTGATGCAGATTGGTGCTGGTTGTTCTGCTTCAGTTGCCAGTGTGTCGCAGAATTGTCCTTTGTCTTTCCTAGCACTCTTCTTCACTTCTTCATTCAGTGCAGTACAGTGTACATTGAACTCAGCTTCTCCTTCTGTTTTCCATCTTTGCAATGAGTCATCTTCTCTTTCACCATCCTCTACTCCTCTCTTCCATTAGCTTCCAGATGTTACTTGCGGTTCAAACTTACATCTGTCTTTATACAACTGACACACTCCTAAACGCTGCTTGGCCGGTAGTAAGACCGGTAAAGAGGGAAGGTTGGGCGTGAGGCCAGCAACTCCACCTCGTTAAAAGAACACTTCCGTTACTGAAACTCCAAAGCTTGTAGCCTGAAGCCCAGTGTTCCACTCAGAAAGTAAAGAAATGAATTATAAAACAGTAGAGGATTTATTAAATGTTTAATACTCTTTCATATATATCACTTTAAAACCTAAAATTAAAAACGTTTATAGGTGTTTTGTTCTAGTGTTCTTACAATTACTCGTTTAACAAAAAAACTAATCATCCAATATTTACGTAAAAAGTTTAATATTAGTTGGTGAACTGCATTACCACATTATTAACTGCACTAAGGGAAGTATTAGAATGCGGTTGTTTTTATTATTCTCTTGTGCTCCGAGTTGAACTCTGGGCATAAACAACACATTTTATCTTTCTCTCTTCAGTCGTCTTTAGCTTGCCTCACGATTCCCCATAAATCATTATCTCTCCCTCATAAGATCTATTCAATATCACCCTCGGACCACTACCCAACTTGTCGTTTCCCATTAATATTTCACTTGAGAGTCAACTCGCGATGGCACTCTGCGGTCTCCTCAGTTTGTGTCTTCAGTATGGAGTCAAGGCAGCTAGTGATAAATGTCCACAGCCTATTGGAAACGCATATCATGATACGGCAATTCTTTGAAACATATACAACTGACAACATTTGTATTAAAAATCCGTATCTTATTCTTTATGTTGATTGCAGCAGATAAGTGAAAGTGGTGACCTCCTTTTAGTTCCTCCTTTTGATGGTGATTGGTTCTTGTTGTTGGTTAGGTGTCTTCATCAGCTTTGTCTTCTCCGTGTTCACTCGAATTCCTGTCGTAATTGCCCTTCTGTTCTACCATTTTGTTGGTTTAAGTCTGTAGGCCTTCGAGTTTTTATGACATTAAACGTAAATTATCCATGAAGTTGAAATCTTCAAGCATATTCGTGTCTACCCAACACGTGTTCTTATCTTTCGCTCCCAGATACGGTTTTTGTATGATCAAGTCCACTACAATGAGAAAGATCACTGCTGATAGTAGTCAGTCTTTTCTCACCCTTATCTTCACTTTACATGCTTCTCTGAGTTTTCTGTTGTGAATCACTTGACATTTGTCATTATTATATAAATTTGAATAAGGCATTAAGAAGACAAATTTCGCGAGATGATATCATTTCGTAGTTTCTTTACAACCGCTTTACAACTAACATGGTTAACAATAATAAAGAACATGTTCCAAAATGGTTACTAAATCATATAGTAAATCCCAATGCCAGTAATCTGAATAGAAATCCAGCGTCATCCATTGCAAAACACTTATTAATGTCAGGTCACAAAATAAATATTAATGACTGTTTTACAATTATTTCACATAACTCTAATTCAAGGTTATTGAAGGTGATGGAAGCACTTTGGATTAATCACATACAGCCTAAACTGTGTGTACAAAACTCAACAGACTTCAATCTTCGCCTACCCTGGACTACTTGACCTATCTAAATATGATTGGTCATTAGTATGTACTTTTGTTTTTATTTAACTGAGTAATTGTCATGAACTTTATTTTATTATTGTTAACCATGTTAGTTGTAAAGCGGTTGTAAAGAAACTACGAAATGATGCCATCATCTCGCGAAATTTGTCTTCTTAATGCCTTATTCAAATTTATCAAAGGGACTAATTGTTTCACATTATTAAATAACTGTTAGATGAAGTTGGCAAAGGTTTGTGGCACTGTACTCCTCCATAGTGTCGAAGCAGTTTCCAAATTACTTCGTGGTCAAAGCTTGCGAGGACCTTTTCTGGAGTCAATGAAGTTGGCGTAGAGTATTGACTGTCATTGTATGCTTTCTTTGATGATGTTGATGATGATGACGCCCAGCATCGCGATTTGGTCCACATCGTTAAATTCATGTACATTACTTTGCTAAAAAGTTCCAGATTAGCGTTTATCATAATTATTTTCAGTAGTATAAAGAATATAACGACAGTGGCACTATGTCTTTGCGTGAGTTGTCGAATGGACCAATCTAATATGGTATTACATTATTTCATTTGTTACTTTACTGAGAAGAGAAAAAAAAAGCTGTCACTCACTTTGACTACATCAGTCACCAGTGAAAGTTTAAACTCCCAATCCAAGTTTATTGATTCTTTCTTTATTATATCCTGCAGGGGAAGAAAATAGAGTAGATTAAAAGAAAATATTTATTTGAAATATCAGTAATATTGAATTTTTCAGTTAATAAATGTACATGTTTGTATTTACTTTTATATGATATAAAATATATGACAAAAAGTAAAAATAAGGTATTTCAATTATTATCTGTCAAGTTACTTCTAATAAAACACCTTGAGACAATTTGTTTAAGTCGATTTCTTACAGATTTGATTACGAGCTGACATCAGTTAGAGAGCTATTGGGAAACGGTTGTTTCGTCCTAGTCTGGGACTCTTCAACAGTATGTACTCATC